ATTTTTTTTTGACAAATCAAAATGTAAAAATCCCATAACTAAGTCAAAAATGCATTAATTTCAATACGGAAAGCATTCCTATGTTAGTTTTTAGCAGGTTAACAAAGCTGCATACTCATTTAAAATGTGACTTTTTGGCCTATTTTTGCAAATTTTAATGATGTAACCCCTTTCCTTTTTTTCAAAAATGGGAAATTTCTGAAAAAATTTTTTTTGGCTGGATATAGCTAGAAGATTCCCCTGTTGATGCTGATCAAGAATATATATGATTTATAGGGTCGGAAAAGACTCCTTCACTTAGTTTTAGGCTTCTGACTGAAAGTGCAGTTCCATTTTTAACCGATATTAACTATATTTTTATATGAATATTTTTTGGACAAATCAAAATGTAAAAATCCCATAACTAAGTCAAAAATGCATTAATTTCAATACGGAAAGCATTGCTATGTTAGTTTTTAGCAGGTTAACAAAGCTGCATACTCCATTTAAATGTGAATTTTTGGCCGATTTTTGCAAATTTTAATGATGTAACCCTTCCTTTTTTTCAAAAATGGGAAATTTCTAAAAAAATTTTTTTTTGGCTGGATATAGCTAGAAAGATTCCCCTGTTTATGCTGATCAAGAATATATATGATTTATAGGGTCGGAAAAGACTCCTTCACTTAGTTTTAGGCTTCTGACTGAAGGTGCAATTCATTTTTAACCGATATTAACTATATTTTTATATGAATATTTTTTGGACAAATCAAAATTTAAAATCCCATAACTAAGTCAAAATGCTATAATTTCAATTCAAATTTTTTGACTGGATATCGTTGAAAAGTTTAAAGTTAGTTTAAAGTTATCGAGAATACTCTTTAAATAGAAATAAAAACATCAACGGGTTTTCTTTTTGTTTAAAAGATTTCGAGATTTGAAATTCCCTGTGTAAAGTGTGCTATTCAAGTGAAACGCAGTGTATATATGATACAACGGGTCGGAGGTTCTAGCTAAAATTACAACATTCTAAAGGTTATTATAATTATATTAAACAATCTGAAAAATTAATCTGAAACTTTTAACTTTTCATACGTATTTAAACATACAAAAGCATTATGTTTACTTATTAAATGAAGAACAGCTGAAAGCGCACCATTACACAGTTGGTAATTGCGTTGCTTATTAACAGATAATTAAAATTTGTGCCAGTCAATTCTTGAGTATTTCGTCCTGAACAAAATTTTCAATATTCATGGACGCGAGCGTCGCTTTAATGGCTGTCAGCCGGACAGCAGGCTGTGACAGGGCGGGGGTCTCAATATGATAATGCCTTAATTATGCAACAAGGATTCCCTTTTTCCGTGCCACGAACATCACATAAAATTCCATAAAAGCCCGGGGCAAATGCCATTGACAGCACTTTTCATGCGGCCACGAGCCGGAGGACCCGAGAAGGAGGAGGAGCGTGAACATGCTCACACGTATTGCCCGGGAATGCCCAAATATATTTTATATTTATAACATAATTCGATATAATACCCTTAGCGGCGGCACATCAACTCCACCTCTTGCTAACATAGTCCTCTGCCATAAAAACCAGGCAAGCCATACAATTTTGCGGCCACATTGCGTATACGCCACCACTGACCACAGGCTTCCAAAGAGTGGCCATAGCGGGACTGGGAGGGCAAGCGACGGGAGAAACCTGGTCAAATGGCACACAAAAGGCCAACAGCAAAACGCACTTTGCCTACTGAGGCATTAACATCTGTTGTCCGTTGTCCGTTGTGTGTTATCTGCTCCCGTATTCCCACAGTCAAGTCCTGGTAGTTGACCCAACAAACGAGCATAGTTTCTATTTATGGAGTTCGCCAAGGTCTCCATAAACAATCGGCATGGCTAATGGATTTCGAATTCAGTAAATACGCCCAGACAGCTACAACATCCTTAGATTTCCCCATCGATATTCCTCAGTAAACCACCACTGACTCCTTCTGCATAAATAGGTTTGTTTGTGAATGCCTTTGGGCTCAAGTTAGTTTACAATCGATGCAATTAAAGTATATTTGTCCAGGCTAAGGACTGGCAATTGGCATTGGGATAATTGAACAATGGGATTCACCTTTGAGGTATTCGATATGCTCAGATCTTTGGAAATTAAATATATTTAATATTAACAAAAGAAGAACTGTTTTTAAACCCTTTTCAAGCTATACAAAGTCTTAATTTCGACAGCGAATTTTTCCACCACCGTTGCATATAAAGATTTAGTTTATTCTTAAACAATTTTGTTATCCTATAATGTAGTTTTAAGTTTTTTAAGTTTCGTTTTTTTAGGAATAATAAAAAAACTCTAAACAAATTCAATTTAAAAAATAATTTAACGAGCCACAAGATGAAAGTGCATTGCCAAATGAAAAGCCAGTTTTTCCAACACTGTGATAAAATTGCCAACGCAATCCCATAAAGCAGCAGGACTCACAGCCAGAGAGGTTTAAAACTGGATATTTAAATGAAGTTAGCGCCCACCCCGTGCTGAGTGAATGATGATACTTTCCATTCATCAATTCAATTTGTGCGCATTTCCATTGCTAATGCAGGCGGGAAAGTGCAGAGGATTTTCTCACGGGTCAGGAGAAAGAAAAGCACCGGCACACTCAATAGTCGCCGTGGATTTCCAGCTGAGGCGATGTGCATAATTTAGGACAGTTAGGAGTTTCTCGGTCGCCTCATTTTTTAACTGCTCGCTGCTTTTGCTCCTTGGGAGCTCTCACATGAGCTGCAATCCGGCTGGAGAACTTGAACTGGAGCCATGATCCTTGGCACAGGCACTCCAACTCCCGCCTTTGGCTTTCATGTTTATACAGGGCTTCGTTGGCCCCTTAAATATGCTAATAATTTGCGACGCTGCTTTATTAAATTTCTATGGCAACCGAGTAAAATGAAATGCGCCCCAAAATGACATAACTTATTTAGCTCTTGCGATTCGCCGTTGCTGCGGAAAATTAACACCAGCCAGCGGCGGTAGCAGGAGGCAGGAAGAAGGGGAATCCCGGATACCCTTGGAAAGCCAAAAGTCGACGTTGTTTCTTGTTTTGCCACGACTGTCGGTTTCATTTTATGGCCACGCCCAGCAAAGTGGCTTTCGCCTTCCATCCTGCCAACCATTTTTATGCCAGCTTTAAACAGAGAATTGTGTCGTTAAAAGCCAGGCACTGAAGTTTAATGCAGAAATAATTATTTCATTTAATGCGTCAGCTTTAATCATTTGCCAGAGAGGAGAAGCCCCAAGCTGAGGGCGCAATCTGTAGTTTAATGTGCCAAAGAAATGGATGCCTCAGCGCAATAGCTCTTACGGTATAAAAGCCCTCAGCTATTAGCCTTGGGAGTCATATTTGTAATTAAAGCAAGCTAACTAAAACTTGGGTTACTACCTTTCTGTGTACTCAACTTTGATTTTAGATACTCTTTGATTTTGGTATTTATTTAAGAGCAAAGTTTTGATTAAGATTAAACCGTAATAAAGAAAGTCCTTGCAACATTTATATACAAAAGCATATCGATTTCTGAATAAATTCTTATAAAGGCATGCCACATTTGAATTTAAATTTTAAATTATATTCAGGTAACTTTTCAAAAGTTATCCCCTCCAATTAATACAATAATAATTTTTAATTAAATCCAAACCATGCAAGTAATACCAATTAAAATCAAACAGAATGAATATACCATTTATTATACAATTAAACTTCAGCAAACAATAATGAATTGATATTTTAACTTTCTCTTCTGGTTGTATAATTGCAATTAATAAAATAAAATTCACAGGATATTCACGGGAAATTCGCACAAATATCCGTCGATAAAACTGTCAATTGTGACAGCCAATAACAATGCCCAAAAAGACAGCCAATTGCCACAATAAACAATTAAAACCTTGGCTCTTGTTGGCTTAAAGGGAAATGATTGTGCAAATAACGGTTTGGCAGGCATTGTTGCACTTTTGTTTGACCCCGACATACACAAGTCTTTGTTAATTATGATTTCCGAGTCAATTTGCCGATGCGTGTGTTTGCCGAAACGGAAATCGCTTTTTGGGTGGGTAAATCTCTCATCACCTGCCGCGGGGCCCATAAATCATAATTGACTGCTCCCAGGTGGGGTCTAAGTAAATATTGACTCAACGGGGAACAATTAATCATATGCAAGGCAATGTTAATTTATGGAATTCTTTTTTAATTATCAATCGCAAACACGCAGCGAAGGAGGCGCACAAGATATGCGGTCAGGAGCTAATAAGCTCCTCCTCTACCTAGTGAGGATGTTGTGGGCGTCGTATCCTGTATATTTCCATACCACTTAGGTATCGATTTTCTATGCACGCACTATAAATATATACATCAATTTCTATTTATGGGAAAATGCCTTTATATTACAAAGACCCCACGAATGGCAAACTATAAATAAATTTATAGGGGAAAAACAAGAAAGGAGACTAACTTCGGGGAGCAGACCGAATTTGAATCTATCATAACTAGCTAAAAAAGCAATTTTATAATTTATGGGGTCGGAAGTGACTCCTTCACTGCGTGTTAAGCTTCTGATTAAAATTATAATACCCTTGGAAAACTAAAAAAATAGAGTAAGGCTAAAGTTCAACTTTATGAATGCGGAGCTTTAATGCTAGTTTTTGTGACTTTAAAGTAAAATATATTTAAAATATATTTATTAAACTTTCCTTAATAAATTCATATATATTATCAAAGTGATTTCCTTAAAACCAATCAAAGGCCAGACAGCTTAATTTAAACTCGCAGCTTTGAAGAATAACTTATATATAAACCCCGATCTCATATGCCATATGCCATATGCCAAATGCAAATTGACGTTGAAAAATGATTTTAGTTTATATATATATTTATGTACGGCCTTGTTGGGTAAGCAAAAACAGAAACATTCGTCGGCGGGTTAAATATGCAAATGGTTTATCTGCCTTGGTCCGCTGGCTTGTTGACCCCACAAAGGACCTCCCTTCGATCACAATAGACATCAGATGGTCGGGACTTACCTTTTTTTCTCCGTAGCCTTTTCCCGTCGCCTGCAAGAAAAAATAGGAAGAATAAGGACTCGATTAGAAGAGCAAAAGCTGAGATTTAAACGCTGCATAAACAGGATTGGCATCGATGACACACGACACGCATGAATATCAAATTATGGAGAACTAAAAGCTTAGACCTAACACAAACAGAAACTGAGATTCCGATGGAGATTGAGTGTCTGCTGAGGGAACTGCTCAAGTGATGGGCCTGTTTATATTTACGACACTCCAACTGGCCCCGAGCATTTAAGCCGATTCCTTGGCTACTGGGCAGGTCCTGGTCCTCATCCTGGCCAATGCCGACTTGAAGTGCTTTCGGACCGCTCTCCCACACACTTGACTTGCATATTTTGCCATAACATTTGCAGCTTATAAATATTATGTTACGGCTCAATAAGCTTATGGCCAAAGGACCTTAACTTTGCCCTGATTGTCACCCATTAGTCATTAGCATTCTCCCCGTGATATATATATATACGTATATTTATATATAGATCAAGTGTGACTCGAGTGGCCACTGATGGATTGATGCTGGCCAAAGCCACAGCCGGATTTATGACAGCCCATCCTTGCCACATATGTGGCCTTTGAATCTGTCTGCCAGGTCGTGTCCTTAATGGCTCTTGGCCAACTCTGACAAAGATATCTTTGCGAACTGAGCTGAGCTGGCTAATGAGAGGTGGGCGGTGTGGGCGGACAGATGGAATCCCCGCTGAGGTCAGGCCAAAAGTTGTTGCTGGCCGGCGTGGTAATGACACTCATTAACGCAGTTCCCAGCAGCTCTCGGACACTGGGGAGTCCTGGGCTCTGACTCCTCCTCTCCTTCATTTGGTAATCGCCTTGGCTTTTGCAGCGTTTGCATAATGCCAGCCACCCAGACCTATCTATTTGTGTGTGAATTTTTATTTTTAGCCCAACTTTTTCGCCCTCTCCACTGTCAGCTTCGTTTTCTTGCCATTTTCGCCTTAGCACAATCTAATTACGGGGCTGTGAAAATTCATTAATGCCAATGCGAGTGGGGCAAGCAGCAGATGGATGGAACTGGAAGAAAATCGAACTAAAATCGGACTGGATTTTGAATAAATAAAGTATTTTGATCTATTTTAAAGCCTTGGAAAAATAGTACATCATTTATCAAGTCTCTTTAAAGAATATTCTAGATTATTAGCAACATTTTGTAGGCTTAAATTCAATCTAGAATAAGTTCTGTTGTCTATTGTAACTCTTACATTTTACATTAATCTCTTTCTATTTTTAATTTAGTACTTAATCTATTAATTTCCACAATTTCTCTATGTGTACGACCAAACAAAATTAATTATCCATCAGAATTAGTAGGGGATTTTGCTTTCGCTTTGTCACTTTGCATATTTTCCACGCCGCCTTTCAGTTGGATTTCCATTAACTTTGTCCTACCAATGCTTCTGATCATCAATAAAATTTTAATGATTGCGTTAAGCTGCAGCTGCCTCCAACTTGCAGACACACAGAAATAATACACACAGTCCAATTATTCAAAGGTCCTGCAATTCGATTAAGTCCTTGCCCTAATGTGAGTTTGAATCAAATAAAGAGAAATCTTTCTCCTTTCTCCCCAGAGGGCAAAAAATTCGCCGAGTGTGCAACATTTTCCACACGGATAGGGACAGGACCCGACATTTTAATGAAGTTGTAATGAGTCAAGGGTTCCTGGCTCCTGGCTCCTGACAAACTGCAGCTGTTTGCGAGTCACCCTCATCCGGCCATCGAGCGATTGGGGAACGCAAATATTTGCCCATATAAATTACAGACATATACGCGTATCTGCGTGCCACTGACGACGCGTGGCACATTTTACGTGCTTTGAATTTCAAATTTCATTCAATTTTATCTTCATTTTGTTTTTCTCACCCAAAGATATGGACATGACTGGTGGGTCATCGTAGGAGGCGGAGTATGATGAGAGGAGTGCAAATATGCGATGTTCCCAAAATTTGACTTGGGGCCATCCGTGGATATGAATTTTTTTTTTTCTTTTGGGGCATTAAATTTAATGGATCACACGATAAGAGTAACCATAATTGTTATTAAAACCAAAATAATTGAAATAAAACGGCAGTTGCTTTTAAAATCCATTAAAAGATTAAAATCGCTTAAACTGTGGTAAGTTTATGGGGCCTTTTTTTGTTACACATGGGATGTGAATGTATTTTTTAGGGACTTAAGCGAGCATATTGATATAAAAAAAGGAGAGAGATAAGGGATTAATCTGTGATAAATATATACGAATTTACGCTATCTTTTTCAATTCGTGAAAATCTATTCCTGCTGATTCAAAGAATGTCTCCTGTTTCTTTTCAAATATCTTTAAAAATAACCACAGATTATAAATCAAACAAGTATTGGCAGAGGGTGTTCCCCCAGAGGACTTCTTCCTTAGCATGACTATGACAATATTTTGGGGACTTCCTGCGCCCCCTCAAGAGTAAGTGAATTAAACGAGTCGCAAGCTGTGTAAATTTTCGTGGCATACTTTGGAGCGCAAGGTAATTGAAATTTATGCATAAATTATGCGCATAAACGGACACGGCAAGGCAATAAACAAAAATAAAAATGCAAAATTGTGGAGGTGAAGTTACAATTTCCCCAACGCATGAAAATTTGATGAGGCCTCCTTCGAGGAGGAGGCAGCCCGGGCGCAAATTTACTTGTCCTTTTCGCAGGCTTTTTTATTATTTAGCTATTTGTATACATATATACTTTACAATTTGTTTTTGCTGCCGTAGCGGATGTATATATGTATATATGTACGCAATTTAAGCTCTCCTCGATGTTGATGTTAACTACAGCAATGGCAGTTACTGTATCGTGATCCAGAGATATGCAAATTTATTGCCACCGCAAAAGAGAGACTTTCAGATGCAGGCTACACGGAGAGCTACAGATATGCATTTGTGAGATTGTTTTCGTTGCTGTGTGTCTGCCTCTGGCTCTGCCTCCTGGCTCTGGCTCTGTGGCTTGCCAACGACACGTTGCACAGTTGACTGCCCCGAAAATTGAGCAGCGTCCGGATGGCAAATTGTATCAAATAACCAAACGTCAGCACAAGTGCGCTGCTGTGTCCTGCTATCTGCCATCTGCTATCCTTTTAGAATGTATCTGTGTATCTGCTACAGTTGCAACTCCAGCTGCATCGGCTGTTGACGTGCCTCTAACATGGCCAGCACATTGTCAAGGGAATACCGGCAAAGTGGAGGCTGTCCGTGAGCATTTGTGCAGCGCTTTATTTAAATTACTCAATTTGCCAGACAATCTGCCCCGGAAGTGGAAATTAACTACAGAAGCTGGGAAAAGCAGAGCCGGAATACCGTCTCCGTCCCGCCCCCACATTCACTTGAGCCCACAGAAAATTTAATTTAGTGGAAACTTTCCGGACTCACATCTGTATAGTATGGGGAAAAGTTTTAAATTTAGGTTACTGCGGCCAAGGATGTCAAGAGTGCAGAAGATGGCCAGAGATCGGAACTAGAGTACAATATATGGGGGGAGTGAGGATACACTGAAGGTGAAATTGTATACATATATAAGTGAGAAAAATTAACTATGAATACCACTTGTTTTTGTTTAGGCTAAGCACTTATTTGTATACTTATTATTTAGTAAATATAATCCTAAAGCCATACCATATTCCCATTAGTTAGGCAACGATTTTTAAGAGTTTCTTCTTTTCTGTTAGTTAATCTTGAAATATTTCTCCAAGTGCACACATGCACTCACTTACATAATGTCTGCTTGTATGGTGTATGGATGGATACGTGTGTATTTGTGGGTTTCTTTTTCCCCCATTCATGTAACAACTGCTCTTCTTCTCAGTGCCTGAGTGTGTGTGTGCTCTCTCAGGCAGCTTAAGGCGCTTACTCTGTCACCTGGCTAACACACACACACACACACACACACAGACACACCCACGCACACCCACAATGAATGTGTGGACGTGGAATTCCTTTGGCGGCGAAGAGGGCACCTCTTGGAGTCACTCCACCTTTCCTGTCTGAGTGCTTTTCGACCCAAATAAGAAAGGCGTTTGCCATTCTAAAACAATGTTACGAGCTCACCTCGGACGTTGCCGGTTTTTATATAATTTTATATATCTAAACATATATATATTTATACGTAATATACCCACATACGTGCAATTCTATTGAGAATTCTGGGGCATCACAACAAACAAAAGGTTGGATTGGTAAGGAGAGGCTAAAAATCTATTTCATTTATTTTTTCCAAAATATTTGACAATTTTGCGACTTTTCCAGATTTTCAGGGCAGGCGAGTTTTTTGAGCTGTAATAAGCAGCTTACAGAAAACAATCTCTAATGCGAGGGAGGTCCTGCGTCTGTCTTGCTTCTTTCACCTGACAGTTTGTTTAAATTGGAAGAAGAATAAGGACAGATAAGGGGCCAAAAGGGAGGCTGGGAAAATGTGACGAGGAATTTTCTTGATAAGCTCTTATTTTTTGCGGTCATTTAATCAGGTAAACGTAAATAGGACAAGAAAAGTAGAAGAGAGCGAAGAAGGCCATTATTTCAAAAAGGCAACGTTGGATGCTATTATAGAAATTACTTTAATTTATATTAGCTTTTCTAAATTAAAGAAATGAAACCCCTAGAACTTAAAATTAATTTAGTTTAAAAATTCGTATTAAGGGAATATTTTAGGTATGAATTCCCCTGGCCATATTTTGACCAAAACCCAACCAATCTCTGTGGTGGCTTACATCTAAGTATATCATCTCTTTTGACCATTTATTTCAGCCAGCCAGAAAACCCCGTTCATTTCTAAGCAGATCCCAGGCTAATCCAGCACTTACAGCCCAGCAGCTCTCCAGTTGGCAAAGCTTGAAAAGTAGCCAAAGCCCTTAGACAGGCAATCAAGACCAGGAGGATCAGGAGCAGGAGCCAGGGCATAAATTGCAGCTGGGCCAACTCAATCATCTGACAAACATTGTATGTAAGTAAGAGGGT